AACTTCGTCTTCTCCTCTATAAAATCCCCAATTCGATATGAAGAACCCTAAAAACCCCAGATCTCTTTGACAAAGTTGAGATGAAATCGAGAAGATGAAGAAATCGAATTAGGGATTTTATGTTTAAATCGCTCTGCTTTGAATTCCCCGATTGCATTTTCCACATCAGGTAAATTGTAGCAAACTTTCAAGAGCGAGTTAAGCGAATTCATCTGCATCATCACACAAGTTTTGCATTTGATGGAGCATAGATATTCATTTAGGGTTACTATCGAATGAATGAAAATAATAAAGGAAGAACTAACCTTCATATATGGACATGATGCACATCCCCCATGAATAGAGCAGCCTTCACCACCTGCTACTCCCGGTACAACTGGTAATGCCACATCACCAACTCTAATGGAGTTTGGACCCTCTGAAGAAGTTTTTGACATAGAGTCTGATGACACCGGAAACACTACTTCAACTTTTAATTTAGACGACTTGGAAGAACCTAGCAAACTCTTGATCACNGCAACAATGGATGTTACCATTCCTGACTCTGTTCCTAGAACAAACTGGAGGTGGTCATCAANATTCCTGTCCACTGCTTCNTGAACCTTCTGCTTGATNAAATCTAGTATGTTTTGTGTGGATCCAACAACACCCATTCCCCTTTTCTTTGCTTCCATTGCTAGTGAAAACATTTCACCTGGAACCTCGAGGTGTGCAGTAAGAAAGGCATCACAGTACATGTACTTTATTCTCTCCACTACCTCATGACCGAAATGATGATGTACGATACACGTTCCTTCCTGAAACACAACCATATAAGAAAANTTTCTTTTGACACTTGAGTACTGCCACAAACANCCACAGGCAAAAGTTACNTGGAAATAATGAAGACGGNAAAGCAATGATTTGATGGAGTTTAGGCTGTGTTTAGGGTGAATATTGGCAATTTCTTCATCAGTCATCAATGTCATCTGCTGGAATAACTTTACAATATTTGCTCCCATGTACGAATCAGGACCATACCAAACATTTAATTCCGGCATTTGAGCAAACGCCTATTGACAGGAGACGAGAGGAAGAACTTAGAAAATGAACATAATGC